ATGATGCCAGGTCCGGCCAAAATAATGAACCGCAGGAAGGGCAACAGACGCTTCTGGAGGCACTCGGTGCGGTAAATTTCACTGTTGATGGTACCCATTGTGATGTACGGTTTACTCAGTTTGGCATGTGGCCTGCCAGAGCAAGTATTTTTTGGCGAATTTGTCCACTTTCTTCTTCCTTATGTCTTCCGGAACATCAAACCATGATTTAGCAACGTAGAACTCCAGCCCCGGTATCTGCTTTGCGTCTGCCTTGATGTAGGTTTCGTCATCCATAACCACACACATCGGTTTCGTTAACCACTCTCGATACAGCTTCCTTGTGCGGGATTTGGCCGCCGTGTTTTGTTGATCACGCCGGTTCGGTGCCTTCCGGACCTTGAATACACGAAGTCCAGCTCGTTTCATGGTTTGCTGAACGAACCAGGCGGAACACTTTGCCTTAAGAGCCGCGTCGCGAATCGAAAGGTTCGGATTACGCTTGAAATAATCCAACACCTTCCGGGCTTTCACAGGGTCAGCTGTCTTCGATTTTCTTCCACTTCCAGCCCACCGCTCGGTCGTCTGGGACTCCTTAAACGATTTTACCACGCGAGACACAGTTGTATGGGTGATTCCCAGTTGTCTTCCGATCCATCTCATGGTCGCAGTCGGATTTTCCATGACGGCGCGCAAAATTCTCCGGTGGTTTTCTTCTTGTTTCGATTACATCTCAATAACCACTGAACCGATTGTTATGAAATTTTGCACATGTAAACAATTCACTCCAAACTAGTTATATCCAGATTTTCATCAATTTTTACCCATGGATAAAAAAGTTACACACGGATAAAAATGGTGCATTTTTTTCGAGTACAAGCCTTATGCTGTAAACTAGTGGCAAAACAAAAATATTAAATTAGGATAACAAATTAAACAAAAGATGAAGAGCCAGGTAGGCTAATCAATTAATATTTTAAAACAATGTACTATCATAATCTTCTTCTTCATTCCTTTATTTAACGTCGGTCTCTGTTCCGCAATCTAGTGCCAATCACCGACGGACATCAATTGCAATCCATTGACGGCAATCGAATGTGCAGGAAGGCAGCTTCCACACCTGCGTAGGATATCGCACCCATTCATCAACACACATGGACCGGGACCAACGGCTTTACTTCCCTTCCGAAGGAAGACGTGACCAGAGATTTTTATGCCTCAGAAAAATCCCACCGACCTCGGCTGGGATTGAACCCAGACCCATTGGGGTGTGAGAAAGCAGTCACGCTTACCACTACACCACCGGCACCGGCAACTATCATAATAAACAGAAATAAACATAATTTTACTACTACTAGTAATTTTACTCCTGCCAAATGCGTTGGATGTGGATCTGAAACATGAATTAAATCACGGAGTTCGTAGTCAGCGATAAACATATCTAAATAATTAATTCGCAGCGGTCCTTTCGCTTTCCACAAGCTGATTTTCTCAGCTTTACTTATTCCTCACGATTGACGAGAGCTGGTACACGTTAAATATTCCACAAATCCAGCTCTAAAAATTATGATTTAGATCAGTATGAAACAACACATATTTTTGCTGTTTATTTCAAAAATTTACTCACTTAGCAAGTTGAAGCAAACACGCGATGATATGTTTACATCTAATAGTGCCCGCTTTACATGAACATCGAAGTACCCAGTGATGATAATCGGTGCCAATACGGAGTTTCACCTCGCGAGGAACGTCTCCCGGGTGGGAGCTTTGGAGCACAAAACCACAAATCAAGCTGAACATTGCATTAGGTCTTAAGTAACATTGACAGATTCTCTTCGTCGACTTTCTTGTTGTATCCCCATGGCCATGTAAAGACATTCTCAGGTATTTTCAGCACACATATCGATAAAAGAAGCTTTTATCTAGCATCTATTACAACAAACACAACAAGAAACGGTTATGTACTCAAGTTATTAACGAAAGAGAAAGTCGACGAAGAGAATCGAACAATGCTACTTAGGACCTAATGCAATGTTCAGCTTGAAATATCCAACATCGAATCACTTTCTGATTGTCCTGATTCGAAAACAGATTGTCCTTCACAAAGTGGACAGATGGAATCTCCTATGTAATCCAGAATGGCTCCCAATGAAATTTGCGTTTCTTTTCGTTGCCTCAAGCTTCAGTTTTTCAGATGGATTATTTTATAAATGCAATACCCTTCAATGCGAGAAATACTTACCAGAAGAAAGGGAATTTTGTTAACTTTTCACTGGTATCATTTTAATTAAGACTATCAGTCGGAAAACACATAGAAATCAGAAAAAAAAGTACACGGCCATAATCACCAGCAAGCAAAAAACAAGCTAATGACACTTTTTGTTAGTTCCTTGAAAATGCACCAGGTAGCGCGCGTGTAAGAAATGTTTCTATTAAAAAGGCGTATTGTCCGTTGTGATTTCGCCATTACAGCTTTCGTCAAGAAGCAATATAATTGGTGCGTGATAGTCGTCAATTGGTACAAGAGGAGTGGAGGGTACAATGAGGTCAAAGTGCTCCGGTAGATTTACAAATAGAAGATCGAGGAGTCTGCCGTTTGTATTCAAAACATCGTCAAAAATATTCTGGGTGATCTAATCTAACCTGATCCAGCACCAACACAGTCAGTCCTTGGAACCATCCAGGAAAATTATGGATATACCTCCATCATTTTCATCTCTATTCGCCCATACATACATTTCTAAGGAAGTGCCTTAAACTAATTAGTACATTTCTAAGGAATGTATTTTTTTAATCAAACAAAAATATCAATTTTTATAGTGTAGATGATGCATTGTTCTAAGAAAAAAGGAAGAACAGTTTAATCGATGGTCCTAATCTCTTGATCCATAGGCCAAAATTTGAGGCTTACCTCTATATATTTCACATCGAAGATGCGTCACGCATTCCAAAATGGTCAGGCCTACTGTTCGGCATTTATGGGACAAGATCAGGGTTGTTAATCGTTAACCTTCGATAACATCAAAGTTAGCGTCTGCAATGGTGAATTTGCCCGAAATCGGTTGATTTTAAAATATTCTTTCGGGGAAAAATGTTGGTGTATTTCTATATGGGGAGGTTTTGTCTCCTCAGAACTGTCTCGTAAAATTTGTATGGAAAATCATGATAAAATTGAATAATTCAAATTTCTTCCGATAGAATATTTTAAAACATCCGATTTAGTAATATAAAGGGTGATACGGTCAAAATTTGGTCAATATCAACTTGACGTATTTCTTTCAATTTTGCATTTAAAAAACCTGAACACCCCTCATTTTGAAGGTGTGTGTGTGTAGAATGTTGCTCCTATTTTGATTTTGGAATTCACTCTTCAGTTGTCAAAATGCCGTCCAAGCAAGAAGAGCAGCGTATCAAAATTTTGCTCGCGCATCGCGAAAATCCGAGCTACTCGCACGCAAAGTTGGCAAAATCGCTAAAAGTTGCCAAATCAGCCGTTACAAATGTAATTAAAGTGTTTGGGGAACGTTTTTCGACAGCCAGGAAGTCTGGATCGGGGGGAAATCGAAAACCGGAAGCCGCTGAGACGACAAAGAGAGTTGCCGGTAGTTTCAAGCGAAACCCTAACCTCTCTCTCCGAGATGCCGCAAATAAGCTGGGTGTATCGTCTACAACCGTGCATCGAGCCAAAAAACGAGCCGGACTATCGACTTACAAGAAGGTAGTGACTCCAAATCGCGATGATAAACAAAATACGACGGCCAAAGCGCGATCCCGGAGGCTGTACACGACGATGCTGACGAAGTTTGACTGCGTGGTAATGGACGACGAAACCTACGTCAAAGCCGACTACAAGCAGCTTCCGGGACAGGAGTTTTATACGGCAAAAGGAAGGGGAAAGGTAGCAGATGTTTTCAAGCACATGAAACTGTCAAAGTTCGCAAAGAAATATCTGGTTTGGCAAGCCATCTGTACCTGTGGCTTGAAAAGCAGCATTTTCATAGCTTCCGGGACTGTCAACCAAGAAATTTACGTGAAAGAGTGTTTGAATAAACGTCTGCTGCCTTTCCTGAAGAAACACGGTTGTTCCGTACTGTTTTGGCCGGATTTGGCATCTTGCCATTACGGTAAAAAGGCCATGGAGTGGTACGCCGCCAACAACGTGCAGGTGGTTCCCAAGGACAAGAACCCTCCCAACACGCCAGAGCTCCGCCCAATTGAGAAATACTGGGCTATTGTCAAGCGGAACCTAAAGAAGACCAAAAAAACTGCTAAGGGCGAGCAGCAGTTCAAGGCAAACTGGCTTTCTGCGGCGAAGAAGGTGGACAAGGTGGCTGTACAAAATCTGATGGCAGGGGTCAAGCGTAAGGCCCGGCAATTCGGATTTGGAAAAGCGGAAGCCTAACTGAATATTTTTCCTGAATTTTATACTAATTGAACTTGAAAAAGAAATTTAATTTGATTTTTTAAATAAACGATTTCACCGATTTACACGCGTTTTCCCTTGACCAAATTTTGACCGTATCACCCTCTAGTCATTCAAACTAACTTTTGAGAAAGACCCGAGGTACATAAAAGTTGAATAATCCGTCACTTCGGTCACGGCGTGTCCCACAAACGTTTTGGGATGAAATTTACTTTTAAGTAAATCGTCGAGACAGATCCATCATCACCATTACTCCCTATCTGACGCTACTGTGCATATAAACTTCTTGTACTTCTAATCCACGGTCAAGTCACGAATAACCTAAAAAGTGGCAAAATGTTTTTAATAAAAAAGAGCTACTATTTTGAACCTAAGGAAGCCGCAAATCAATGTGGTACAGAGAGAGAGGTGAAGTAGATCGTGAAATATTGTTGTATTAGTAAACCAAAAAATCAACGTAAACGCAAGTAGTGACGTCACTAATTGCTTGTATCGTACAGGGGTTTTACTCACACAACTTAACCGATTGCTTCACCTCGGTAATCCAGCTCATTGGCCGCAAATACCTAAACGTCCCAAAATTGTCCCATCTTTTCAGATACCGTGCCATCCTGGGTCCGTTCCAGTGGCCCGTGTGGGTGGCCCTGACTCTCGTCTATCTGCTGGCCATTTTCCCGCTGGCTTTCTCGGACAAACTGAGCCTGAGACATCTCATCGGAAATTGGAGCGAAATCGAGAACATGTTCTGGTACGTTTTCGGAACTTTCACCAACAGCTTGACCTTCAGCGGGGAGAACTCCTGGAGCAATACGAAGAAAACGTCAACCAGGATGTTGATCGGTAAGATTTTTGCCGGCTAGCCGAGTGATTCGTGGTTGTAATTGTCCCTATCAATTCTAGGTATCTACTGGGTCTTCACGATCATTATCACATCGTGCTACACGGGATCGATCATTGCCTTCGTGACGATGCCCGTGGTTCCGAATACGATCGATACGGTTTCCCAACTGCAGAGTGGATTCTTCCGCTTTGTTACCTTAGATCGGGGAGGATGGGAACGGTGGTTTTCGAACTCAAGCGATAGTCGGACGGAAAAGATGATCAGCCGGTTGAAATTTGCTTCCAGCATCGACGAAGGCATAAGGAATGTAACGCAAGCTTTCCTGATATCGTACGCGTTCATTGGATCGAAAGCGGAGCTGGAGTACTTAGTTCAGTCGAACTTCTCTAAAGAGTATGTCCCCTTTCCGGGTTTGCCGGAGTTCTAATTCTAAATATTTGTTATTTTTTTGTTTTTTAGGGCTCCCAATCGACGCTACACTTTACACGTTAGTAAGCAATGTTTCTCGCTATTTGGTGTATCGTACGTGTTTCAATTGAATGCAGTGTATCGGGATAAGTTCAACAACGCGATCTTGTACATGCAGGAAGCAGGAATCCTAACCAAGCTGGGCAAAGATGTCTCCTGGGACATGCAGAAAACAAAACATGGTCGCTATCGGCAGGCTTCCGTCGGGATGACTTTACGAGTTCCCACGGGAGGTGAGAAGGGATTAACCTTAGGTGATACGGAAGGTATGTTCTTGTTGATGGGCGTAGGCTATCTCGTGGGAGTGGCAGTTCTCATCTCCGAATGGGTCGGAGGCTGCACGAACAAGTGCCGAGAGATTATAAAAGCCAGAAAAGATCGTTTCTTAAGTCCGGGCAGCTCGGTTCCTCAGTCGAATGCTTCCTCGGCGAATCAGAATTCCCTTAGAAAAAAACGTAGACCCTCGGGAAAGGAATACAGCCTGATGGATACGGCTGAAAGCAGTTCTACGAATGCGTTGACTCCTCACGACCCTGATATTGGCAGTACTGGATCGGACGGAAGTGCAGGTTCAAATCAGAAGAGAAGTTTATCCGATAGTATCCATAACGTTAGTTCCAGCACGCTACAGGACTTGTATGATGGCCCGAGCCGTAGACATTCCACCATCGTCTATGTGGATGGGAAGATGATGTCCGAAGAGGATGCACGTCGGTACGTAGCCAGTGAAAAGAAGAACAAACATCACTCCAGCTTAAGCTCGGTTGTTGAGCACGAGGTGTCTCGGCTTTTCAAATACCTGGATGATCATAAGTCTACTCAAGAGGATCTGAGTGAACATTCGGAGAGCTATCGTCACCATCATCACCATCATCCTAAGAAGCAATCGATTGAAGTGACAGCTGAAGTCAACCAGCCTGATGATAAGGGATCCTGGTCGAAACCTGTTCGAGCCGGCAGTTTGGAGGCTCCTTTCGGAGAAAAGCTATTGCATTAAGGTGAAACTCTGTCGAAGCTTTATTTCTTATGGATCTAACGGGTGATAACTAAAAAGTGAGAATTTTCATTTGGGCTCATGAAAAACACTTGTAGCTTTGTCATGATGTGAGACCATGAGCGTTGTACAGCATTTAAATCGATTTTACGAATGCAACTTTTGATTCAGTTTATCAGCTGATTACAATTCTTGGCCCTCCCAATTGTTTTTGTACGCCAACGAACTCATATTACTACACAAAATCTTCAATTGGGCGACACTGAGGCAAGTTTGTTGGGTTGCGGTTTTTTGGTACATACGGGCTATTTTGATTTTCCAAGAAGGTTAGTGTTTTCTTATCATAATGCGATGATGCTTTATGCGGCAAAATCACGAAGTTCCTGTCTGCGTCACATTTTTGAAGAAATGGAATCAACATTTTCTTCAAAAATTGATTTTGGTACACTTCTTGGTTGATAGCCAAACCGCTAGGCTTGAACCATGGCTTGGAAATTCCTCTCTCCGATATGGCGATATACAGCATCTCTTACCACTTACATTTGGAGATCTTGTACAACTATTATCTGAATAATATCGAGCATATCCAGGAATGTGAGGTTTTGAAAGAGGAAAGTAACTTTCATCATCCAAAACGAGACATTTTCCTGAGTAACTTTTTGTCATCCAACGGTATTGGGTTTTCACGTTCGAAAATTGTTGATCGGTGTATTCTAGAGCTCTTGATTTCTTTCGACAAACTATTCCTATCCTTTTCAACGTTTTACAGGTGTGAGGTTGCGTGCACTTGAACTTTTTCGCGGTGTCCCGCTGACTGATCGAATATTTGTTGTTGAACGTATTGTGTAGCGATCGAAGTTCTTTTTTGTTCATTATTTTGGCTTGTTTTCCACGGAGATCGAAGTATGTCGCGGTGAAGAAGTGACGTGCTTGTATTTTGCTCCCGTGTTTAACAAATTGTGAAGTTTTTTGCGAACATGTGGTTTTGCGTATTGGAATGTTTGAATCTGAGAGTGGAACAGTTAGACCTGATTTGAACGGGGATCGTGATCCAACATCTGGAGGTTCATCGAGAATGCTGCAATGACGGTGCGTTTATTCCGATGCACTTCTTCCCGAGGCCACGGCAAGGGGAAACTGATTTTGTTATTATCAGGGTCAAGTAGATGGAGCTCCATTTGCGAGAGCAATTGATCTTAAGAATTACGAAGAGGCGGGCTAATTACAGATCATTCAGGTGAGATCCTTCCTTTTTATTTCATTTGTTTGCATTATAATTCTATTAGTATTTATAGAAACTTTACCAAATTTTGACCCAGGGCTTAAATTGAGGAGCTCGGCTAGCTTGGTGGCTGCCGCTTTTGCTTACTGAGTAGTAGATCGTGGGTTTACTCCCAAGCTCCTCCAAAATAAAACAATTCCTAAGGTCGCATCGCCTGCTTAAGCGAATCTTGACCCAACTCTGTAGCATATATGGAGGCGTCGGTGAGTCGCTGGCCTCTCGTTAAGTAGATGGAACACCAACAATATCCTTGCTTTCCCTGTAACGGACAAGGTGGGGCTGGCCGGCAATGGCTATTGCCATTCTTTTCCTGTTCTGAATTGTGAATGGAAAGCTATTCACTCCCAAATAGATTTCCTTAAGAAATTAGAATAAGAACGTTCAAGTAGATACATGACAGTTGCCAGTATGCAATCTACGAATCACTCAGTTGCAAACGCAACGCAACGAATTTTTTAGCTTTTAGAACGATTCTGTGACTTAAACTTATTTGAATTTCTGGATAAAAGTAACAAGGACTAAAATGTGATCCTTTGATTATTGGAAAATCCTGGATCCCTAGTTTGAAGTTGTCACGACTAGGGTTCAGTGGTAAGTGGTAGATCTTATACCAGAAGCGCACCACAAAAAGGTGATCTCCCAACGTTACTGGGTTGAAAAGATAAAAATTTACAAAATGGAACGAACTCACCAAGTTTAGCCAATTGAACCTGAAGGCTGCCTAACATGTGTTGATGTAGAAGTTCAAATTGTAGACGAAGCTTGACGATGATCAACATGAACTAGTCCGGTTTATGGTAGTTGTGCGGAATGTCTTCCTTCGATTTGAGATAAACAAATGTTCGGATGTATGTAGACGATTTCTGATGTGCATTGGCAAGCCTTTTCGTGGTCAATAGTCAGGTTCAACGCAGCGACTCAACAAATGATGGGACGAATGATTGGACGTCTCGTGGAGGTTCTACTTGGCTTCGGAACAGCTTCTCAGCGGCAAATAATACGGACCTAGAATGAGGAACGAGAAACTGTCTCCTGGGCCTGGTTATGGCCAGATCAGCAACCGAAAAAAACTCCACGGAAAAAAACAAACGTCAGGTTCGAACACACGCACAGCCTACTCTCCGCTCCGTGACTCCATTCTCTGATTTGAAATGATCCGTCGTAAACTCCAGACTCGTGTTTCTAGGCAAGATAAGCAAACTCTGAATATTTCAGCTGTTTTTGATGTAACATGGGCTGGCACTTTTAGTTTAATATTTAACTAGGGTATTTGACTGAATGTTTGATGTACAAAATGCTCATATACATTCAAAAGCGAATATATTTATAACACTACAGTCAAATTTCGCTTGTTGGGCTATGTTTAAGTGGGCTGCGATTTAGTTGGGCTCCCGTTAGTTGGGCTGTCGCCAACCTAAATCGAAGTCAAACGTCATTTCTAACAGTGCTGATTCATTTTCGAGGGGCTCATGTAGGAACAATTTGGATAGTTGCTAAAGGATTGTGATGATGATAAACAATCGGTGTATCCCTCAACCAATTTTCAGCTTGACAGCTCAGCCCAACTAACGAAAGCCTTTCACTAAGTGGGCTATGGGTTTAGCCCAACGAGCGAAAGTTGACTGTATTTGGATTAATGATGCACAATCTTTAGCAAAGTTATTACTCATTGTTTGATAAGTTTTGAAAATCTGAGCTTGCACCCCTGCTTCCAAGTTTGGTTACAAGATTACAACTCTGGAGAGCATTTTGTGTGGTCGTTGGGGGCTTCTGGTTCTGAATATGGACAAACAAGCACAGATAAATTCCATTCCAACTCTTTACTAATGTAAGCTTGATGGCCCTGAAAAGGGCCGTTTTATTGAAGAGGACATCCATGGCCACTTACGCTTGGCGTGTTTAGTGTAGGTGACAGCATCACGGACCTCATTTTCCAGGAACACCTTCAGCACACCTCGTAGATCAGACCGGAGATACGTTTGACACCGCCACGGCGAGCCAGGCGGTTATCTCGAAGAACTTTGCGATGACGCTTGGTGCCTCCTTTACCAGACCTTTTCCTCCTTTGCCACGACCAGTAAATTGTTGCTTGTTAGGTGTGAAGAAGTGGACTAGCCACCACCTTCCTACTGCTGCTATTGCTGTGCACCACACCGTCCGAAGCGAAAATGAGCTAATGCCATACAGCAGCGCTCTTTTATATATTTTCAGGTTAAAGCAGAATGATGTGCAACCAAGTGGTGTAAAAGCTACAAAGACTCCTCCCACTGGCTCTTTTCCTTTTGCGTACACGGCGAATGAGGACGACCCAAATTTGAGTTTAGTTCACTCATAATCGCCAAAAGTGCAGGAATTCAGCGATGAGTAAATTTGTCTCATGGTTTCCTGTGGAAAACCTAAAAAATCTGCCAGAAAATGAGGAAATTGATGAAAAATTTATTCAGTCTCGGAGTAGTACCAATAGACTGAGTGAATCCAATTTTTACTTTTCTCAAATTCGGGATTTTTTCCCTGGAAAATCCTGGAAAAACCTAGGAAAAGATTAGGCAAATTTACTCATCGCTGAGATCCTGCACTTTTTTTTTTCTTATTTCCGAGATAACTAAACTCAAATTTGGGTCGATCTCATTTGCCGTGATATCACCTTGAAAGATATCGGCGCCGGTGGTTAGCGTGATTACCCGTTCTTAGGCATATCATCTCTGATCACGCCTTCCTTCGGGAAGTAAAGCCGTTGGTGCCCGGTTGAGTTGATGGGTCGATTGGTAGGGTCCAGGTGTGGGAGCTGCCTCCCTGGCGTCGGTAGCATTGGAGCTCAGTACGGAAAACAAATCTCGCGTCACTTTTCAATCGGTCCTATCTACATTGATCGATTCTCTTCATCGACACTATCTTTCGTAAATAACTCGGCTTCACAAATGTTTCCTGCCGTCTTCGTCGAATTAGATGCTAGATTGTTGCTTCTTCCATCGAAAATATCCGGCCGTGGCGATTCAAAGTTGATCAAGGTTGATCAAAATAATTTGTACCCTTGCTTCCAGTTTGACTACATGAGCATTTTGTGTGATCGTTGGTTGTGACAGGCAGATGAATTCTATACCTACTCTTTACTGTAATAAGCTTGGTGGCCCTGAAAAGAGTCGTTTTGTTGCCAAAGTTGGTGATGATGGTGACGACTGTGCTGGGGAAGCAGCATATGCATGTAGGTAATTGGTGGATTTGTTAGTTAATTCGACGCTTTTGGACAAGGCTGGACATTTACCAGTTTTTCAATAGTTTATTGTTGAAAATCAACATTCGGAATGCATTGTGCGTAGCCATATTTCTGATCGATTGGTGATAAAATTATTGAAATTGGACCAGGGGCAGCTGAGCTATTAACGTTCAAAATCTTTCTTAATTTGTTACATGTTCCATTTTCGGTTTTCGCAAAGTGTACCCCCATATAGAAATCAAATACATAGTCTTGCGTCAAAAAACTGCAGGTACAGCTACAAGCAGAAGCTTGCAAAATAGTTTTGGAGAGCGTTTACTCAACTTTTTCACAACCATTATTCAATTTGTCAGTCTCACTGAATAACAGCAACCAATAAACGCTAATGTAACTTCTTAGCATTAGCAATAGCATCGATCAAGTTTCACAGTAACGTAGGTGGTACGAATTCAAAACTATTAAGAGCAAGACGGATATCTATCACTGTACAGATGGTAAATAGGAAATAATTACTATCTCCCAGATAGACATACCTCTCTAGATGCAGAGAACTCTACGACCCCTCTTAAATGTCTCGGGAATTTAGGAATTATGCTAGTAGGGAAAGTAAGCCATGTGATACAGCCAGTCAGTGTTGCTGGCAAATGTAGATTTTTTATATAGGGAAATGGCTCTAATGTTTGCTTATGGATCTAAGATTGGGCCCATCGCTAAAATCTGCTATTTCTCAATTTTATCTAGAGGAACGCGTCATTGGGACGGTACTAATGAATATTTTTGGTCGGTATTGAAAATTTAGTCGATTGCTGTATGGGCCCAAATTAGGGGCATTTACGCCGACATTACATCCATTTCCCCTATATGGGAGAAAATTGAGGAAATTTGCATATGTACCTACTTATCTTGATCCGATACATAAAAGCATCCACTGAGTTCTCTTATTTTTTTCCTTGATTTGTTTTCCGTCGATCTTGTTTTCCGTGCTGAGCACCAATCCTACCGACGCCAGGGAGGCAGCTCCCACACCTGGACCCTACCTATCGACCCATCACAACTCATGAACCGGGGACCAACGGCTTTACTTCCCTTCCGAAAGAAGGCGTGATCAAAGATGTTATGTCTCAGAACATCTCGGCGGCGCCGAGGGGAATTAATCCAGGCCTTTTGGGGTGAGAGCCAATCACGCTTACCACTACACTACCGGCGCCGCTTAAGTCTGGTACATTCAAATCAACTATATCCACATAACATTCCATCAATGTTTTTAGTTGGAAAATCAAATTTAAATTTAGCAACACTGTAAACAATTTTAAGCGTGATTTAATGTTTTTTTGCTTCAAAAATCATTTGAAACAGTAGGCGAGAAAAAGGAGTTAAAAGAGCGAGTGAAAAGAAAATGGAAAAACGCAAATTACTTTTGGTCGATAAGTGTTTTTGATATAAAAAAGGATGGGGAATGTCAGATAGAAAATCTAAACATACATGCTGAGAAAATTGCATTGTAAGTTTTTAAACGCAAATATAAAATATACCTCATGTGGACTCCAATTCATTTTAACGTTGTTAAAATATAACAATAATGTAATTTTAATAGAATGAAAAAAAAAATCCGAAATGTTTGTCTAGTGACAGGTAGAACACGAATAACAACAATATCGCATATTTCTTTAATTTATATTATTCTTTGATCGTTCGCTATAAAATTTCAAAAATATAGATAACCGTAAATTGTCTACTTCAACCCATAACACTTGGATTTTTGCAATACATAGCATTGATCAATTGGATGTCGGTGTCAGTTAATCCGTTATTGTTGCCAAAATCGGAAAACCACACCTTCTTCGGTGACATGACCGGGGTAAGGGCACTTGCAGCACCGGCATACCGAGAATAGTGCATTACCGAACCGTAGTTGTAGCTGGTGTTATAGGTCGAAACATACTGAGCCGGTGTGATGCCGAAGTTAGCGTTGTAGAACGCATCAGTTTGATACTCGGGGAGCAGAGCCTGCCGATTGATGGTGATGTAATTGTCGCGATCGGTTCTTGTGAACTCATGGAAGGCCCCCAAAGCGTGCATCATTTCGTGCACCGGAGTTCCGGGGTAAGTCGTACAGCCCGGAGTCTGAAGATTGATCTGGTGGTAGGTGTTGTCCGCGTAGAAACCAACATTTGAGTGGCATCCAGTTGCGTTATTCCAGAAGGTGACGTAGTATGGTTCCCTGGTTTGCTTGACGAATTGGATGCAGGTCATAAGCGTGTATTGGTCTATCGCCCGTTGAACCACTGCCCAGTCTCTAGTAGCTGATGGAATTAAAATTGAAAACAGGTCCATGAAACAACAACCACCTATGGGTAGGCCAAGACATTACCGAAACTACCAGCAACCTTATACGGTACCACTCCTTTCGGCCATCTCATCTCGTTGTATATGAGTCCAGCACGGCCACGCTTCAGAATGATGTCCCCTTCAAAGTAGTGCCCTAAACCGTACTCCATCGGATAGGTAGCGCCGCGAGTGCTACCAGCATGATACTCACGAGCAAGTTTCTCTCCTGAGTAAGATTGGCATATATTTTGAATTCGTATTGAACGGGATTTCAGACAACATGTACACTCACCAACTGCTGGATGTGGCTCGTACATGCAGGAAGCCTGCTGCATTAAAACTGCACTGCACAGCAATACGAAAGCTCTTGAGCACACCATTTTGGTATTTGAATAAATCGGTATGTTGCACTTGGTGATATATGTTCCTTTTATACCTATCTACTTGGTAAACTGGCAGTATAGAGGTAATGACAACCTCCGGCGCTTATCAGTTTTCGGCAACAAGCCTTGTAAAAAGTCGGAAACTTGTGATAGTGATACGTCAGGCTGCGCATACTGAGGCGGTCAAGCCGGTATCGTGGCCAAAACCTCGTTCATCATGCTATGTTAAATTAGACAAAGTATACGATCCCGTGGATTCAACGTAAATTCGCCAAGAGTCAGATAACACATTAGGCCATTGATAAATTGAACTTAGAATTAATTTTTCAAGATTTTGACATTCCTGAACTTTGCAAGATTTCTGACTTCAAATATTGTGAGTTTTAAAGATCTCAGATGTAATATAAAACATCATGGCTTTTGAAATTGGCCGTTAGAATTCTGACACTGCGACACATTGGCTAAAGAATTATGCTAAGAATGACAATTGGGCTTCGAGCAGAATTGTAGCGGTATCCTAAGTATAATTCTAAAGGGAATTGTAGGGAGTATTTCAATGGAGAATTATTTAATGAAATTTTTAAGGACAACTAACGGTGAATTGCAATGCAATTCTGAAGAGACTATTATAGGTATTATGAGTTGAATTCCAGGGAACTGTGAACTAAATAGAAGGAAATTTCACGGAGCATTATAGGGAAAATTGGATCCTCCTTTCCATCAAAGTGAATTAACACTACAACAAACATCATCATTGACTACAATCCTGAATCTTCAATGATACTAATGACTTAAATGTTTATCAATCAATCGATCAAAGAGAAATTCTGAGGAGAACTGCCAGTAAATGTGGATAATAATCCCTATGGAATCTAATACTTAATATAGCTCAAACAATTCTTGAAGTAGTATTTCAGAAGGGGCTGTGTCATTTCGTCGAATAGATAATTTCACCGAAGAAAACATTTCACCACATTCAAATAGTGATCTCCTCTATGTAAAGAATATAAATATATAATTAATGAACAACGGTTAGCCGAATAATTGCAATTATATCATGTATGCCTAAAACGTTTGAAGCAATTGTTAATCAGAAAATATTCAACAATTTTTTTTCTTTGATTTGTTTACCGACGATATTGTTTTCCGTGCTGAGTACCAATGCTACCGACACCAGGGAGGCAGTTCCCACACCTGGACCATACCTATCGACCCATCACAACTCATGAACCGGGGACCAACGGCTTTACTTCCCTTCCGAAGGAAGGCGTGATTAGAGATTGTATGTCTCAGAAAATCCCGGTGGCACCGACTGGGATTGAATCCAGGCTTTTCGGAGTGAGAGTCAATCACGCTTACCACTACACTACCGGTGCTGCTATATTCAACCATGCAAAACATCGCATTTCAAATAATCAACATGTTTTTTTTTCAAAAGTCGGTCCACATATACTAATTTTTTGGAATTTGTAAATTTACAGAAACAGGAGCAATGGATAGAGGTAATGCTATTGAAACATTATACACTAACTTTACTTTACTACTACTTTGACAGAGTAAACATTCCCTTGCTACTTTTCAAGCTAAAACGTATATGATTGGCAAGAACACTTTTAAAATGGATTGGATCATACCTGACGGATAGAACACTGGTGGTCCGATTTAAAGGAAATTCCTCTGCACCAGTTAATGTCACCGACAAACCGACATGAATCTTAAACTTAGCTCTTGATCGAGAATCCCTAACGGCCGATTCAAATGTGCCGCGATCCCATCTGTCAAAACCATAGACATGTTTTATCTAGATAAAAATAATTTGTCCGAAATAGATTAGACGCAAACCAACTCATAAATTTTGTACGCGTGTTCGTGGCTAGGATACATATTTTCCGCGAACACGGCGGCAGGTGTCAGTTTTGTGCTTTGATCAGAAATTTATTTGTAATTTGTATGATCATTCATGTCGGTTTGTCGGTGTTAATGTCACCTCGGGAGTTCCACAGGGTTCTCAGTTAGGACCTTTATTATTTATTCTATTCGTAGACGATGTTAAGCTTGTGTTAAACCGCCTCAATGTGCTTATATATGCTTGATATTAGAAATACTCAGAGGGAGAGATGGGCGGAGAGAATGTTTTGAGCCAAATGAACTGTCAAAATCTGAGCCAATCGAACATTCCAATTAGATTTTTTCCGAGGATTTCTTATTCTTACTAGAATAAATTTGAGAGTTTTGCAATCGAACAGAAATTCAATCTCCTTTATGTTTTGTGTGCTTCTCAAATTGAACTAGTTTTTGTAATCAAAACAATATTCTAACTCTATTGATTAATTGATCTTCGTTGGTTAATGAATGGCACCAAGAAATGTGCAAAATACTGCGATGCAATCAATTATTATTTTGCACGTAAATAGAATCAAAGATACAAGTCATTTGAAATGCTAGCTTCTAGCAAGGGTTGCAAGATAATTTAGGAACAAATCCCTGCTGCCGAATTGTATTTTGTTTTCTCCGCCTATCTCTCCCTCTGAGTATTTCTACTTGATATGAAACTATACACGGAAATCTGTAATAGGTCAGATCTGCAACATTTTCAGGATAAAATTGATGTCTCCTACAATTGGTGTGCTAAGTGTGCTTATTAATGTCAAAAGGGACAGTATCATATCTTATACCCAAAAATATATCATTCATGATTTGATCTGTTCTCTAAGGAATCAGTTAGTTGAAAGATGTAGTACAATTAAGAACTTAGGAGTAATTCTTGACTAAAAGTTGACTTTTGTAGATCATTTGAATACTACTATCCACAAAGCACATAAAGGGTGTCCCACATCATATTGCATCACGGAAAAAAAAACACTGTAAAAAATTACCCATTAGGTATTTTCTCTTGAATATTTGGGTAGAAGTAGTTTAGAGTGTGTTGTTTACACTGTATTTTTATCGCTGTCAGATTTTCGAAAGTTGGAAAAAATGGCGTCACCCGAAAAGCAACGTCGCGAATTGATTTTGCGCAAGCACCTGGAAAATTATCAACTCTTTAATTGGGACATTGGAAAACAACTCGGAATCGTGCAGTCAACGGTGAGACGTGTGATTAAACGTTACTACGAAACTCTGAGCATTGAACGGAAAGAGAAATACGGTCAGAATGGATGTTCTATTAGTGATCAGGGTCACAAGCGTGTCGTGAAAGCGTTTAAGCGGAATCCCAATACTTCGGTCAGGGATGTGGCCAAAAAGTTGAATCTGTCCATGTCTTTCGTTCAGAGAGCCAAGGACCGGGAGGCACTGCATACGTACAAAGTGCAGAAGGCTCCAAATCGCGACGAACGGCAAAATACGGTGGAAAAGTCACGGGCGCTGAAACCGTACACCCAGATGCTGACGAAGCCACATTGCATTGTCTCATCATGGATGATGAGACTTCAATTAAGGCGGACTTCCGGCAGCTTTCGGGGCTACTGTTCTTCACCACCCAGCACAAGTTTGATGTTCCGGAGGAAGTGAGGAAGTAGAAACTTTCAAAGTTTGCGCCGTTCGTGACTACCGGGACTGTAAACGGGGAGGACCACTCAACTTGGGCGATTGCCGATGGAGGAACATGATCGCTTGTGTTTTGGAGGGATTGATTTTAATTTTCCACGTGGTGGCATAATCAGCAAGGGCGTTAAGGCATCGTTGAAGTTTGTTCGTTATTTCGCGAGGCATCCTTCCTTTGACGGCTATTGCGGTATCATCTGCGAACAGGAAAAACACGCAACCGTCTCCGAGGGGAGGAATGTCGGAAGTGTAAATGCCCAGCAGACTGCGGGACTCCTGCTGGGATGGAAAACGTGTCTGAAAGACAACCATTCAACGATACCTTAAACAACCTTTGCTGGAGGTAGTTAAGGGTGATTTTAACCAGATGTAAAGGAAAGTTGAAGTTACAAAGCTTGTACACAAGTCCGTCATGCCAAACATTTTCAAACGCCTTTTCAACGTCTAACAAGGCCATGGCTGTGGACTTGGATACAGCTTTGTTACTTCGGATGTTATTCATAACCCGTACTAGCTGGTGATTTGTGGAGTGCCCCTTTCTGAATCCAAACTGTTCCGGAAGGAGAATGTTGCTTTCTTCGACAAACTTGAGCAAACGATTGAAAATGAGTTTCTCGAACAATTTGCTCAGCACTGAAAGGAGGCTGATTGGTCTGTAACTTGAAGGCAATGTTGGATCCTTACCGGGCTTGCGGATTGGTATGATTTTTGCTACTTTCCAGATGCTTGGAAAATAGTGCAGTTTTAAGCATCTGTTGAAGATAGCGGTTAGAAGAGACTGCACTTTCATGCTGAGTCTCTTCAAGATCATGTTGAATATACCGTCGAACCCGGGAGCCTTCATGTTCTTGGTGCATTTCAGCGCTGAGCAAATTTGTTGTACTGTAATCATATCCGAGGCACGACACATGGGGAGGCATCTAGGTTTTGAACGCATTGCGAAACCTGATCTTTGAGCGGACTTTGGATATTCGAGCCAAGCAAATGTGATGAAGCGACATGCTCGCCGATCGCATTTGCTTTCTCCTGTGGGGTGATTAGAAGCCGATAGTCATCATAGTCGACTCTGAGAGGTGGAACGGATGTGGGATGAGTTTTCAGGACCTTGGCTACCTTCCAGAATGGTCTGGAGCGGTCGTCCAGATTCTGGACAACACGCCCGAAACTTTCTTTTCGGAGTGAGTCCATTCTGGAAGCAATCTGCCTGTTCAGATCGTCCATTTCACGTTTTTTGCCTAGATCTCCAGTCCTCTGAAACTGGCGTCTAGGAACATTTCTCAGGCAAATCAAGAGTTGGGTGTGGGAATCAATGGCAATAAACTTACCCCTCACAGGAACTCGTCGGACGCACGCCTCGTCAGCCACGGTTATGGCTTGGTGGAGTCCCTCCAACGCTCGGTCGATGTCCTCCACGGTGTCAAGCGGCGGGTTGTCGATAATGTGCCCAGTT